CGTTGGGGCGTTTGTTAGCCCAAACGACATGACTAGGAACTCAAAGTGATCATACCTTGTGCGGAAAGCACTTTTCGGTATGTCATCCTCCTTTATCTTCAATTGATGATACCCCGACCTCAAGTCAATCTTCGAAAACACTGTTTCCCCTCGGAGTTAATCAAACAAATCATCAATCCTAGGTAAAGGATACATATTCTTGATTGTGACCTTGTTCAGTTGACGATAGTCAATACACATTCGAAGCATCCCATCTTTCTTTTTCACAAATAGAATTGGTGCTCCCCATGGGGAGTATCTCAGTCTTATGAAGCCGTTATCCAATAGCTCTTGCAATTCGGTTTTCAAATCATTAAGTTCTGCAGGTGCCATCTGGTATGGCGGTATGGAGATTGGTTTTGTGTCGAGCTCAACCTCAATCACGAACTCAATCTCCCTATCGGGTGGAAGTCCCGGTAAGTCTTTTGGGAAGATGTCCGGATACTTGCACACTACTCTTACATCATTGATGTCTGTCTCTTCTTTGGTCTTATCTACCACGTAAGCTAGATACGCGTGGCATCCCTTTCTCATCATATTTCTTGCCCTCACGGTGGATATGATACAACTATTTGATTTGCCTCTATCTCCCTCAAAGCGTAAGGTCAATCCTTCACCGCTTTCGAGTTCAAGAACCTTCGTGAAACAATCAACTCTAGCATGATGCTTCTCTAGCCAATCCTATAATACTTGAGATTTAATTTAAATGGATTAATAGTACTACTCATACCAACAAGGTGCATCTCCTTTTAAGGGAGCTCATTAGCCAAGAACTCCAAAGTTAAGCATGCTTGCATGGGAGTAGTCTTGGGATGGGTGACCCCTTGAGAAGTTTCTCAGGGCGCGCATGAGTGAGGACAAAGTGCGTGGAAAAGGCTAGTGGCGGTTTGTGAGGACAGTACTAAAGGTTAGAAGTAACTACCTTGGGGCCTACGGGGTCGGGGTGTTACAAATCCATTCTGAGGATCGCCTTGAACTCAATCACGCTCAGCGGTACAAAATCGCACGTCAAGGTTTGGCCCTCCACTTCCCCCTCACATGATGGATAATGGCTATCTCTTTCGATATCATCCCCTAGAGGTGTGGATACCAATAGGATTTGAGTCATCGTTACTAGTCTTCCGTTGAATCCCCCGGTGAACGCCTCACTCACAAAAGATCGTTGCGCCCCGGTATCAATAAGGATTCTTGTGTCTCTCCCGTTAATCTTTAGTGTTCCTACATTCATAGGCAATGTAAGACACACTCCCTATTTAATAGATCGCTTCTTAGGTCATAGAGTACACCGACTATGGTTTAGATGAATGTCATTCGGTTTTCTACAAAACACCCCGGTTTCTAGCCCTTAGAATCGTCCTAAGACAAAACCAGGTGAAAGCCGGCCGGGTTTTGCAAAAGTCGGCCGATGTTTGTGTTGGTTCAAAAGTCGGCCAGGCCCTCGCCCCATAAGCTTGCCAGTTTCTACGAAAGTTGGCCGGGTTTCATCGACTTACTTTAATTCATAATTTAAATTCCAAAAGCCGGTCAGGCTTTACAAAAGCCGGCCGGGTTTCGCCTGCGAAGGATCTTTCAAGCAAGACGAACGCCGGCCGGTTTCCACGAATGTCGGCTGGTATCTAGCGTCGTAGTTTTATTCGAATATTAAATACAAAAGTCAGGCGGCTTACATGAAGCCCAGACGGCTTTCGTGAGCTATGTATGTTTACGAGAAGTCTTATCCGCATGTCGGCCGGGTTTTACAACCACCGGCCGACGTTCAGCGTCGTAGTAATTCCCCAATTAAATCCAGACGAAAGCCGGGCGGTTTCCATCGATGCCGGCCGGCATTCGCCCAGGGTGAGCTTCCTTCTCTCTTTTTGATTCTAAAACCGGCATAGTTGGTCGGGGTTATAAATTTTCACATTTCAAACACTCCTATTGTCTACAATAGAGTTAATAACATGAGTTTAAGGATTTACCCGCAACGGAGTTCGGGTTAGCACGTGCGTCCACCTCTGTCATCGCATAGACCCTAGCTTGGGTCTTGCCTTGATTCACGGATGGTGCGTTGCTTGTACTTGGTCCGTCGTGCACCATGCTCGCGTGAGGTTCTCCTGTCCAGTTCCTACTTGCTGTAGTCCCGCTACTTGGTCCTGCACCCGTGGCTCGCCCAAATTGTGGGCAATTGCCCTTAAATGTCCCGCCTCCCTGCATCGGTAACACCATGGGGATCACGACATTTGCCCGAGTGGTTTCTCTTGCAGTTGTTACACCTCATTATTCCCAAGCCTTGCGACCTCGAGTCTTGCTCTCCTGGGTCTTGATTTCCCCTGGATGGTGGTGCGGGGGTTCAAAAAGACCCACCTCCCCCGTGGTTCCCCTTTTTGCTAGAACCTTGGGGGCCTGGGTTCTCCCATTTTCTCTTCTTCGCTCCCTCAGCGTTTTTTAGCTTTCTTTCCTCCCACTCTTTTTCTCCCTTCAAGCCTTGCTCCACTACTTGACTAAACGTCATGTTAGGCAACTGTGTTGCCCTCTCACGCACGTCTAAGTCTAGAGCATCCTAGAAGTGGTTAAATATTCGGTTCTCATCGCAAGCATACTCCGGTATGAACTCGACAAGCTCCCTGAATTTATGCTCAAGTTGCCTCACAGTATACTTGCCTCCTTAGGTCAAGTTAGTATACTCTCTCCTTTTCAGATTGATATCGTAATCAAAATAATATTGGCTGAAGAATTCCTGCCGGAAATTCTCCCAAGTGACAGTTTCACCATACTTTCCTTTAACTCTGTCCCACCACATGGACGCCATGCCTTCTAGCAACCTTGTTGCTACCCTCATTTTCATGTTTGGCGGCAGCTGAATGTCAAGGGCCGCCTCGTTGAATCTTTTGATCCACTCAGCCGCAACGGAGATGTCCCCCGTTCCATCGAATGGTTTGCACCCCAAATCTCTTGCCTCTTTCAGGTATTTCGAGATTCTTATTATTGGGACCTCGACACCTCTCTCTCCTCGGGACTCCACATGTTCCCTAGGACTGACACGACTTCCTCTTGTCGAAGCCCCTCCCAAAGCACGCCTTACCCGACGCCTTTGGCGGTCTTGTTAATATTGACGGAGTAATTCCTCCATCCTTTCTAGAGCGCCATCATCATCGCTCTCCTCGCTAGCATCATCATATTCCCCATCATATGGGGTCTCAACCGGTTCGGTTCCCGGTTGGTAAGTTGAATCCTCCTCGGACTCGTACAACTCATCAATTGTCTCCACATGACCGTCACTCACGGTCAGTGAGTGGCCCGCACAGCCCTGTCCCCGAGACACCCTCGATGCCCCTTGACTGCCATGTTGGGGCCTTCCCGGTGCCTGGCCAGTCGGGTTCCGTCGAGTAACTTTACCGGTACATTCCATTTCTGAAAGAAATTGAGATTGAGCCATTAGACTCGTATCAAATGTCAATTGACGGATATGCACTTAAAGACATCCTTTGGCTCAAGTTACCGCCATACCAATTGTTAAGGGTACCATCTTAACTATCAGAGACATTGCAACTCAAGTACCAAAAGTTTAAGTACAAAACTTCTTATGCTCATGGTTTTCAAATTCCTTTTCAAAAGAAAATTTTTGAAGCTTCATTATGATGTTTACAGACTAAGGCTCTGATACCAATTAAATTGTCACGCCCCGGACCTACCCGAACACGTCAACAACCCGCCGTACAGTATGAATAGTCAACCGCAGTCCAACACATCCATACTATACAAGGCGTCCGGAATATCATTCACACATAGTACATCCATAAACAAGTATAATGTAAAATATTCATTTAAGCAGCGGAAACATTAAATTTAAGTGTTCAAACCACACTTGGCATATCTTAGGCATACAAGCCCCCAAATAATTATTCAGAAAATAATATCCATGAGCATATATGTAATTGTTTTTAAAACAGAAACGGGGGAAGCACGAACCAAGTCTTCCCTCCTCGATCTTCCCGAAGCAACGGGCGGCGGTAGCAACCTTCAAGTTCTACCTGAAACTGTGAGGTGGCATCCCCTGTGAAGGGGAGGTCAGTACTTGAAGCGTTTGAAAAGTACAATGACAACTACACTGAATATAATCAATGTTTCACTTTCTAAGACCCTCAATCTAGGGTGATATTATATTATAGGCCATAACTCATGGTTACCTCGTTTTAAAATATACTTACTTTATATAAAGTCAAGTATTCGGCCCGTTGGCCCATATTCATTTAGAGTTCGCCATATTTATTTTCCGTGACCCCAAGTCACAACAACTCATATAGTTCATCATGCCACGAATTCATAGCAAGGGCTCGGCCCAACTACATTTCTATGATATCTGCTAGCCAAAATTCAACACATCATTATTGCATAGCAAGAGCTCGACCCAACTACATTTCTATGCAATCTTACAATTTCATAGCAAGGACTCGACCCAACTACGTTTCCATGATATTCGCTAATGCATGGCAAGGGCTCGGCCCAACTACGTTTCCATGTACTTCACAATAACATGACAAGGGCTCAGCCCACTATGTTTCCATGTAATTCTAGAGTCCGGCTCTAATTCATCATTTTAGTCCGATTCTCAAACAAATCCTATGCTTAGAATTCATTCACTTAGAGTAACCTTTAATGCTTACCCCTAACATACCTTAGAGCTCATACAATTCATCCTTAAAGTATCTCTTAAGACTACTTAAGGAATCACTAATCACAATCCAATGTCTTAGGATTAATCCCATTATTATTCATATTAAATTCTCGACTAGTATTTTAATACTAGTCGGATAATCTTAGAACAACCAAGTTCTTAATCCATAGTCAAACATTTCATTTCAATTGATTCACCAATCAAAAGTATGGTTTAACCTTAATATCAAAAATATCACTTTTATCCATTCATGAATTCCATACATGAAACAAAAGTATATTTTTTCACAATATTTCACAATTAATTTCATTATCATGCTATCATATTCATAACACATAATCATACACAATTTCTCTAAATTTGTGTATCATGCCTTATTTACTCATATGCAATAGTATTTTCATTTAGGCATTATTAATCATTAATAATTCATGAAAATCACATTTAATAATTTAGGTAATCTTATGAAATTAATCCAAAGCTCCAGCGCACTCTGAAGTTAAGTTACAGACTCCTGGTGCCAAACTGAAGCAGGGGTTTTCAACTGTTGCAAAAGGGGCCGTTGGATCTTGTGCTGCAGCACTTCATAGCCCAATTACTGGGAATGTACTGACTGATGCAAACAAGGATGTTGGGCAGCTCACTGCTGTACAAACCAAAACCATAACTTTGGCAGAGAATCCTTGGAGCTCACTGTTTGAGGATAACCGGGATCCAAAACATGGCATTAAATTGAAATATATCTGTTGGGATATATTATCCCGACCTATTACTGTTCAGTAGTCCAAGATTTCACATAGTACGGAGCCCGTTCAGTAAGGCCCGTTTCGGCCCATTTAGGCCATCCGGCCCAGCAGGCCCGTATTTGGCCCATTAGGGCGGAGACCACCCTTCCCCATTCCCCTATAAATATGAGGCTTTCCCACATGTTTAGGGATCCCTCTTTCTTCCCCCCTTCTCCCTAGTATACTCCATTAATGGAGCTTCAATATTGTATTATGTAATGGGGAGGAGAGTATTAATAAAAGGAGAGGGCTTGGACATTAGCTTAAACAGTCATGTGGTTTTCTCCCCCTTTCCGGGTTTCCACGTAAAAATCATTGTTTATATTTTATTATCACCCATAGCCATGAAACCCTCCCGGAAGGGGTTTTGAACTTCTGGGCTGCGGTGAATTAACTTCAACACTGGCGCCGTCCGTGGGAATCTTGTTCAAAAAGATTTCATGTGTTCTTGGCATCTCTACGAAAAATTCATGCGAAGTGGACTGGTTTCAGGGAAAGAGGAAGATATATGCGGGGATTTGGAAAGCTCCAGATGGGGAAACAGCAAAATCTCATATAGAATGGTCAGCGAGGTTCGCCGGGCGGTGGACGCAGTCGCATAGGAAGGCTCCACCGCTGCTACCATGACAGGTCCAGCCGCATCCACGAAGTTCCTAACCAGGATGACCTCACAAACCCGGCACCATGTCTAGCAGCTGTCTTTTCACCCTTGCTGTGACCTAACAGGGCTGGTGGCTAAATTATTGGGTGGGGCCACCCGTGGACCAAGTGGATTCTAAGTATATTGCATGGCCTTTTTGGCCGAACGGGGCGTGATGTTTGTATGCTCAGGCGGCCGAGTTATTTGCCAAGCGGGAGAGATTAATGAGAAGGGAACAATATAGTTTCATCCGGTCCCAGGTAGCAGAGGGGAAGGACCTGCGTTGCATTGCAATATGGAGCGGTAGTCCTCTACACCTTGCGGGATTTTCACACAAACCACCCAGCTTCTAAAAGCACTCAAACGACGGTCTTCACTTACCGGACGACTTGTAGACATACCACCCGTCCAAACAGCTGCCTTAGATGGGATGTACTTAACCACCGTCCGGCTGAAAGTTTGGAAAAACACCTCACCGCCCCGATCGCCATCCACTCACCCTGGCCACCCCGCTTACAGAATTGTTGACACCTTGTAGGCTGGCGCTCGGTTTCCCAAAGCCCTGCCCAATGTTCTCTCAGCTCGGCCTCAAGTTACCGGATAGGCCCCAGCCTTCGGCTTCAACAACACACGATCTGACCCACCCCGGCAGCCCTGCTAAACAAAACATTTGTAGCCCCAGCCGCGGGGTTTAGGGACCCAAGGGGAGCCGAGGGTCTGCCATGCTGTCAACCACTCGTTTGATTCAATCTCAGCTCGGCGCCTCCGGTCGGCTTGCTGATATCCGCCGGGGGCTGCTCGACTTGCTCCACGAACTTCCTAAAACCAGCTGAACAACCAGCATCCAAAGGGAACAACGGGGTTGTTTCACAAACAGGGAGGTGGCATGCAATCTGTTACACACAGCTAGACACCCAGAACTTTAACTCCGATCTCCCAGGCCGCAATTGGATTCCCGGCTCGCCTCGGCGGTCGTACGGAGAATGAGCTCTGGTTGTGACGATGCACGGACCCGCAATCGGAGCACCCCAGGGTCAGATACGCGCACCAACCAATCCAAGGCGCACGGGCTATGGTTGTGGCGACGCACAGTGATGAAACCGGCCGGTCTAACTTCGGGAAGGACTCGCGACGCTCTACCTGGACTGTCTTGTGCGAGCTGTCGCCGATGGGCCAACCCTTTACCAGCATCCTACTTCGCCGCACGACACAAGGAAGGGAAGGCACGGCTGGTTAACTCACACGCCGTTCATCCGAAGCTAAATCCCCACCGAACATCCATGGGGCCAAATAATGATCAGCCAACTTCTTTGAATAATTTTGACCAAAGTCAAAATCGGTGAAAAACACAATAGCGTCACTGCACGCACAACGCGATCTGCACTCCACTGCCCGCCACAGCTCAGCGTACCAACCTAATAATATTGGCTCGCCCCTGAAGCGACAATTTTAGAACCAGTTGTGTGCCGAGGTTCGGCCTCAGATTGGCTCAATCCGGCCACCACCGCTGCCACGCTACCCGTCCAAGGGGCACCGATACCCAGTACGCTCAGTCCTCGGCTCAACGCCGCTCGGCAAACACAATACAACTCCGGCTGACCAGATCGGCTCACTAACCGGCGATACACCGCTCGGTTCTAAACGCACTTCAGAGGACAACAAGGACCTGGTAGGCGGGCCGCCGGCTTCCAAGGCCCTGCTCAATGTTCAACACCGTTCGTCCCCAAGGCAACTCGGGCCCCTGGTGCAGAGTAGTCTCCGCTAGCTGGCTGCAAGGGAAGGAGAAGCCGGCAGGTTCGAGACTAAATTGGTGGGCTCCACACTCCCGTGCTTTGCAAAGTGGGATATGAATTACGTAGAATATTGGACCGGTCATAATTAACCCAAAGGGAAGCCTTGTTGGGCTTTTCAGCAACCTGCCAAGTTCAGCTCGTCCAAAGCTAAGTACCTTCTCTACACTTTAAGTAAATTGCGAAAATATATTATTAATATGATGGGTTATCACCATTATTTATTAGGGAATAAGAATATCCTGAAATCAAATAATGCCGAGCCGAGCTCAAGTGGTGATCTTTCACCGTCATTTTAATGACTAGGTGTCGAGCCGAGCCGAGGGTCATTGCACCCTTAGGTCGACAATCACATCCGGAAGAACCGCAAATCGGAAAAAAAATGTTGGGTGTATACATATGCGTATTGTCTGGCCATTTGGCTGCATAACTATGTTCACTATGCAGATAAAGATAATAATCGGAACGATCGACAACAGATGATGCTCAAAATGAACCTTGGTGCCAAGGGCCCGAGGACGAACATCTTCTACCATCAAGCCGAGGGATTGGGGACGACCATCCCCAACCCAGAAGCCGAGGATCTAAAGAAGACCATCAGGCTGAGGGCTTCGGATGAACATCTTTCACCTGGAGGCCAAAGCCCGGGGACGAACATCTTTCACCCGGAGGCCAAAGCTCGGGGACGAACATCTTTCACCCGGAGGCCAAAGCCCGGGGACGAACATCTGTCACCCGGAGGCCAAAGCCCGGGGATGAACATCTCTCACCCAGAGGCCAAAGCCCGGGGACGAACATCTTTCACTCGGAGACCAAAGCCCGGGGACGAACATCTTTCACCTGGAGGCCAAAGCCCGGGGACGAACATCTTTCACCCGGAGGCCAAAGCTCGAGGACGAACATCTTTCACCCGGAGGCCAAAGCCCGGGGATGAACATCTCTCACCCGGAGGCCAAAGCCCGGGGACGAACATCTTTCACCCGGAGGCCAAATCCCGGGGACGAACATCTTTCACCCGGAGGCCAAAGCCCGGGGACGAACATTGTTAGGTCCCCTAGATTTTGATGAACAAGTATTGTTTTGATGATGCCACCCCTTTTTGATGTATTATCCTTGTAATAGACTAGCAATTGTATTTGTTATACTACTGTTTATTATAATGTGTTCAAAAGTGATAAAGTACTCAAGAAAAACAGAGAGTACTAAAAAGTGAAGAAACGTACCATAAAAACAGAGAGAAAAGAAACAAAAAGAAAAAGGTACGAAAAGAGTCAACTGAAACCATTTTGAATAAACTAATCAGAGAACCTTCAATAACCTTCTGGTCATACCAGAGAACCTCAACTATGATGGACATCAGAACTGATCAACTCTGGTAAAACATCAAAGTAAAGGTCTCTGATATATACCAGAAGACCTTCTGTCATGGTCGTAACAGAGAACCTCAACTGACCTCTCCAAAGAGGTGGTTCTCTGTTGACACCAGAACAGAAGACCTCATAGGTATTCTGGTAAGGTATTCTGTTGAGGTATTCTGATCAGAAACTCAACATCTACTATTCTTCTCTTAGCACCGAAACAAGAAAACAGAAGACCCACTTGTAGTCAGAATAACAGAATGCCATAGAAAATAATGTTACAAGAAATTATGTGACAAAATTTCTTATAACATTATTTACTAAAAGCAAGTAATCTTATATCAAGAAAAGCATTGAACAACGCTCTGCCTAGATACTGAATTTCTGTAAGCTAAAGAGATAAAGATAAATCATCTTTATATTTGCCTTGAAATGAGGAATCAAGTTGAGTGAGGATAAAATGATCCATGTCACAAGAAGACAACGAACACCCATGCTGCACCAGTCAAGTGGAACAAAGCAAGTAGATAAAGCAACGATCAAGATTGGATCACTCAGCCAACGGAGGAGATTCAACAACAAAGTCTATAAATACAGAAGTAGTGCGGTAAGACCAAGTGTGGAACCAGGGGGCACTTAGCAAAACCATGTGGCACCAGATGGCAACAAGCCCTAGTATATTGGAACCCAGTGGAACTGAAGGGAATCAAGGAATACATGAAAACATCCAGTTAGCTTATTCACCTTCACCACTCTGGTTACCACCCCACTCATCTAATGCTCTTAGAATAGCTCAATATTCATACACATCAATAGAACTTAGATTAGTTGGTAGATTAGTTTAAACCCATGTAAACTAGTCTAGTGTATTCATTCTGGTATGTGTGTGATCATCCAGAAGGTGAGGCAAGGACATGAGTAGCTTCTGGCTGGGCAAGCCATTAGTGAAAAACCTTGGAGGACATGAGCTACTTGGAACAGTCTGGTTCCTCGTGAAAAACCTCACAATCTACGCCCGGGCCAGGGGTAGATTGGGCACCAAATGTAATGGGATATTCATTTAGTGGAAAATCCATCTGAAATAGATTGGGACTGGATGTAGGAGTATTACACCACCTCTGAACCAGGATATATCTTGTGTACCTTTTATATTCACCACCCAACACATACTTCAGTTCTCACTCACCTTCACACTATTCTAAAGGCTTGCATATTCATTGTCCAGAAAACTCCCTAAAGTTTTACGTGAACCAAAACTCCTTAGTTTCACACTACAAAGAGATCTATGTCAATAGGTCTAAATTCTTCACACAAAGGTGTTTTGTCCTCCCATCTCTGTTATAACTAAAAGGGTTATAACCTTTGTTCCTATAAAGTGTCACACTCTTGAGGTCAAGACTTTCGCTGTATGTTTCAACATCTCACAAAAGATTTTGGAACACATTCTATTTGAGGAAAAAGGGTTGAAAAAGAAGATTTTAAAAGTCTATTCACCCCCCCTAGACTTTTACCTCACTTGGGACCATCAAACATCTTTCACCCGGAGGCCAAAGCCCAGGGACGGACATCTTTCACCCGGAGGCCAAAGCCCGGGGACGAACATCTTTCACCCGGAGGCCAAAGCCCGGGGACTAACATCTCTCACCCGGAGGCCAAAGCCCGGGAAAGAACATCTTTCACCCGGAGGCTAAAGCCCGGGGACGAACATCTTTCATCCCGGAGGCCGAGAGCCTGGGGACGAGCATCTTCCACCACAGGAGCCGATGGCCAAGAGGTGACCATCGCGGCCGAGGGCCGTGAGACCATCCTTGTACCACGACCGACCTCACAGTACGACATGTTTACATTTAGAAGACCGACATCATCCCCGCACTACGCAGATGAGAGCCGTTGCATGGAATCATTTGATCGACCCCTCATAGCTGATGTACTTACATCACGACCGGCCTCTTGGCTCGACGTGCTTTCCATATTTGAAGACCGGCCATGTCCCCGCTCCTCACGGATGAGGACCGTTGATTGATTCTTTCAGAATCCTCCAGTGCCAACATCATTATATGGCCACTTACCCCTGGTACGGTGCCATCGTCACATTTGAAGACCGGCCTCGTCCCCGCTCCTCGCGGATGGGGACCGTTGATTTATTCTTTCAGATCGGCTCCTACCGTTGACACCTTTATTTAGCCACCGACCCCCTAGTACGGTGCCATCATCATATTCAAAGACCCCTCAAAAAAAAAAATATTAGAGGGCCATTGGGGAATCCCCCAAAGGAGAGAAGGACGTTCCTCACCGAGTATGTTGGCTACGCTTGGCTCAAGATCCAAAGGACCAAGCTAAATGAGCGGGTATGACGACGAGCAGGTGATGGAACGAAGAGATAAAAGAATCTAAAGAAGGATCAAATAAAAGAATCCAAAGAAGGATCAAATAAAAGAATCCAAAGAAGGATCAAATAAAAGAATCCAAAGAAGGATCACACAAGGAGAGAAGGTCGTTCCTCACCGACTACGTTGGTTACGCTCGGCTCAAGATCCAAAGGACCAAGCTAAACAAGCGGGTACGATGAGGAGCGGGTGATGGAAGGAAGAGAAAAAAGAATCCAAAGAAGGATCAAATAAAAGAATCCAAAGAAGGATCAAATAAAAGAATCCAAATAAGGATCAAATAAAAGAATCCAGAGAAGGATCACACAACGAGAGAAGGTCGTTCCTCACCGACTACGTTGGCTACGCTCGGCTCAAGATCCAAAGGACCAAGCTAAACGAGTGGGTACGACGAGGAGCAGGTGATGGAACGAAGAGATAAAAGAATCCAAAGAAGGATCAAATAAAAGAATCCAAAGAAGGATCAAATAAAAGAATCCAGAGAAGGATCACACAAGGAGAGAAGGTCGTTCCTCACCGACTACATTGGCTACGCTCAGCTCAAGATCCAAAGGACCAAGCTAAACGAGCGGGTACGACGAGGAGCGGGTGATGGAACGAAGAGATAAAAGAATCCAAAGAAGGATCAAATAAAAGAATCCAAAGAAGGATCAAATAAAAGAATCCAGAGAAGGATCACACAAGGAGAGATGGCCGTTCCTCACCAACTACGTTGGTTACTCTCGACTCAAGATCCAAAGGACCAAGCTAAACGAGCGGGTACGACGAGGAGCGGGTGATGGAATGAAGAGATAAAAGCATCCAAAGAAGGATCAAATAAAAGAATCCAAAGAAGGATCAAATAAAAGAATCCAGAGAAGGATCACACAAAGAAGAAGAGAAACCCCCAAAAGGGGAAAGAGTCGTTCCTCACCAAATCCGGAGATCTAACTCAAAGCTCAGTATCCAAGGGATCGGGATAAAGGGAAGGTACGATGATCAGATAAGGATGACCATCTTATGCAGCACGATCGGCCCCTCAACGCCGACGTGTCTTGTAACACCTCGGCCCCGTAGGCCCCGAGGTAGTTACTTCTGACCTCTAGTACTGTCCTCACAAACTGCCGCTAGCCTTTTCCGCGCACTTTGTCCTCACTCGTGCGCGCCCTGATAAACTTCCCAGGGGGTCACCCATCCCAAGACTACTCCCGTGCAAACACACTTAACTTTGGAGTTCTTGGCTAATGAGCTCCCTTAAAAGGAGATGCACCTTGTTGGTATGAGTAGTACTATTAATCCTTTTAAATTAAATCTCAAGTGTTACAATCACCCCCACTTAGGAACGCAACGTCCTCGTTGCGCCCATAAACCAATCTCAATCATATCCCAGAATCTTTTCCCCCGCTAAGTGCCCGCCCAATATCCAACGGATCAGCACACTATCGCAGGGTTGCTCCGATACCATTTGTAACACCTCGGCCCCGTAGGCCCCGAGGTAGTTACTTCTGACCTCTAGTACTATCCTCACAAACCGCCACTAGCCTTTTCCGCGCACTTTGTCCTCACTCGTGCGCGACCTGAGAAACTTCCCAGGGGGTCACCCATCCCAAGACTACTCCCGTGCAAACACGCTTAACTTTGGAGTTCTTGGCTAATGAGATCCCTTAAAAGGAGATGCACCTTGTTGGTATGAGTTGTACTATTAATCCTTTTAAATTAAATCTCAAGTGTTACATGTCTAGCTCATGGTTCGGCTCACCCATCCCCTACAGGATGGCGACGACCGTCTTATGCAGCATGATCGGCCCCTCAGCGCTGACGTGTCTAGCTCACGGTTTGGCTCGCCCATCCCTTCCAGGATGGCGATGACCGTCTTATGCAACACGATCGACCCCTCAGCGCCGACATGTCTAGCTCACGGTTTGGCTCGCCCATCCCCTCTAGGATGGCGACGACCGTCTTATGCAACACGATCGGCCCCTCAACGTCGACGTGTCTAGCTCACGGTTCGGTTCGCCCATTCCTTCCAGGATGGCTACCACCGTCTTATGCAGCATGATCGGCCCCTCAGCGCCATCGTGTCTAAATCATCTTCGGTTTTGCTCATTCCTTCCAGGGTGGTGATGAACATCTTATGCAGTACGAACGACCCCTCAATGCCATTCGTGTCCGGTTTTCATTCAAAGTAAGACCATACCGTGGAAACGAATGTCTTATGCAGCATGCTCGTCCCCTCAGCGTCAACGTGCCCAGTTTACCGATGAGATCCTTCGTTTTGTATCACATCTTACATGCCCTCTCTCATACATTGCACCCATACATTACATGCATTCATACATTCATGCATCATCTCTCATATATCCATACATACATATACGTCACATCGAGCCAGTCTCCGTGTCGTCAGCTTATATTGTGCAGGGACCTCTAAGCTTCTCCATTGGAAAGCTCGAGTTAGAGTCCTCTACTCC